CACACACACATATATAACAATCTAAAAGACGCCAAGCTTTATGGATTTAAGTCCCACAAAACACCACCTTGTGATAATCTATTATTGGACTTCAAGAAAGAGCTATTCTTGGTAATAGACAAAATTAAGTTTGCTAAAACTACCAATGACCTACAGCAAAAAAAAAAAAAAAAGGAAATGCTAAGACATTTCTATGATAAAAAAATCTAATTATTAATAAAGTAGATAGAGAGGTAACCATTATACAATTGATATGGATATGTACCAAATAAAGCTGTGAAGAGGTTTTATGAAAAGGCACCCAACAACTGGGAAAATAAGACCAATAGTGAAGCCAAGGAAATAGCTACTGATTCAAAAATTGATTATAGAATCCACAAATAACAAGCATTCATCAGTTAAAGACCACAAGGCAAATTTCCCAAAACCCTCAATACCAATTACTCAAGCTAAAAATAATATTGGTAAAATCAGCAACAACATCCTTGAAAGAGCATGCAAATACATCAAAATCAGAGAATCTGCTAATGGCTGCTGTAAATCTAGCAAAAATTAAAAAAGAAAATAAATGCAACTTGTTGAAAAATTGGTTATCTTAAAACACTTAAATTAAAGAGAAATGAACTGATGGTTACATGTAGACATAAAAATGAATATCTGCTTAAATATGTTGATCCAGATTAATTTTTAATATAAATTACGGTGTATATATATATATATATATATATATATATATATATATATATATATATATTATACACACACACACAGGTTGTTTTTTATAATATTTTGAGTGATTTATTAACAGCCTAATGTTTGGCAAATTCAAGTAATGTGAATCCCTTATGTAATTTTTTTTTTTTTTAACTACTTGGTAATCTTAAGAATTTAAGAAAATATCTGAAGCAATCTAATATTTTATTGAATTTTAGGTGCTTTTGTAGACTTGCAAAGAAGCTTGTTGAAAAAAAAAAAAAAAATCTTAGAAAATTACTAATAAATTTTTAATTTATTGCAGCTAGTTCTCTTATTGTCTGATGATGTGGTCCATGTCTATCATAGCCCTTCACTACTCCATCCACGTGACCTAGGACAAACATTATATATCAGCATGACCTTGATCTTTTCTTCTTTGCGTTACCACACACCCTTCAATATAAATTGTTTAGTTTCATGATAAACCAAATGACTTTTTCGTTGTTTCAGTATTACAGACTTGGTCTGAATACACTTTGTGAACATTTTTATACTTTTTATATTCTGTAGCATGTTTCAGTTTATTTTTCTTGTGATTTTTAGTACTTTGCAGGACCAGTTAATGTTTACACTCCCTTTTCATATAACCGGGCAACTTCTCATCAAATACTGGAGGGAGACAAGGAAGAGAAATGCAGGCCCTTGGCCATTGTGGCCAAGGGCACTTGGACAGGTTATGCATGGAGTTATGTTCCTATTTATTTTTGTCTGCCAACTGGATGCTAATTGGGTTTTTCCTATTCACTCTTACTTCTGGTACTCTTGCCTTTATTTAATTCCAGCTACCTCAGACCCTTGCTTCCAGCATTCATAGCCTTTGCTACTTCTGCTTACCACAGTTTAGGAAATTGCTGCATGTATATCATTCAGGCTCAACCCCTTCCATAAACTTTGGTTAAAATACTGAGGAAGGGTCACTATACATGCAACATTTAATAATGGATATAATATCTAGATCTCCTAGCCGGTCAGTATTCCCCAATCCACTTAATTTTCCTCTATTAACCGATTCTTGTTTTGCTCGCGTTCCTTTAAATGAACAACTACTATTGTATCCCATGTAAATAAGTTATTTTAAGTTTGATATTCTGTTGTCCATATTTCACGGCTTTAAATGTTAGTGGGCATCTTGTGACATCTATGCCTTATTGCAGCACATAGATCATGTTGTATCACACCTGCTTCAGGGGGTCCACTACACGTCCATAAATCAAAACATATATATATATTACACACACACAAAAAGAAAGAGGAAAAAATTCTTTTAAAAATATCAGTGGTCATGGAATTGAAGCAAGCTTTTTCATTTATAATTAGTAAATACAGTTTTTTTTATTTTACTATCAATATCAGTTTTATTACGCTTTTTATTATTCAGAACAGATTTTCTTCAGCTGGGGATCCTGTTTGAGTTTTGACCAAAATATTTTGATGATGTATTGTAAGTTCTCCGAGTATCTGTCCTTATAACAAATATAAATAAATATCAAGCGATATAAAAAATAATTTCTTGAAATTTCATTAGAATTAAATATGTAGTGTAGCGGTGGGTAGTAAAAGGTGTAAAAAAAAAAAAAAAAAAAAAAAAAAAATAATTTTTTCATTCATTTCTGAATAAGTGCTGAAAGTTTCATTAAAATCTGACAATTATTTGATTTTTGCAAGAATTACCAACTTAATGTTTTTCACTGAAAAAATAAAACGGTTAAATTTCCCGTACAAATTTAATGTTCGGCGTTGACAAAAAAAAAAAAAAAAAAAAAAAAAAAAAAAAAAAAAATGAAATGAAAAATTCTACCAAAAAATTATTTGATCTTTCCTCTTAACAAAAATTTTAATGTTTTAACGTATTTTTTTTTTTTCAGTTCTTTAACGAAATTTTGGAGGTGCGCACAAAATACATACAAATGAAATCTAACAATACTAGCAACTCATTAATAATGTCAAAGAAAATTTATTTTTTATTACAAAACTACATTGTGTCTATTTTACCGTTTTTTTTACGTGTATTGATCTTTTAAGAATAAAAATTAATTTCATCATACCATGAATTATCCAAACCAGAAATAAAAAAAGAAAATGTGAATTATTACTTCCTTTCCAACAATCTATTTTTTTCAATGTTCCTTCGTCTTAACCTCCGCCCCCCTCCTCCTTCCTTAAAGAAGGTCTACAATAAAAATACAAACTCATCAGTACTAAAATGTCGCAGGATTATTACTCGTTATAAATACTTTGCAGTTCTTTGAGGGAGAAATAGGTGTTCATTTTGGATAGGGGTGGGGGCGCGACAAGGGAAAAAAACGGAAGAAATCCTAAATTAATTGATGTTTGTTTTTTTCAAAGACAAAAACTCAAACTGTGCTGGTGAATCATAAATAAAAAAAAAAACAACTTTATCATACTTTATTTTCAGTTTTACAACATTCAAAAACAAATTTAATGAATATAAAATTAATTACAGGGAATTAAAATAAATGCCACGTCTGAAATGCATTTTGTGCTCCTAAAGTTTATCATCGATCTTGTTCATGATGACTTGCATTTTAGAAGAAATGGAGTTGACACAACAACAATAATATTGTTGGCGCAACAGCTGCATTCTTTTTTTTTTTTTTTTTAAACAGACGGAAATAAGACTAATCCTTGACAAACTATACTATATAGTCAATTCTTTTTTTTTTTTTTTTAAAGAGTAATTAGTTTAATTGTTTCTGGAATCGATTTAAATCTATTAAGAAATTGATCGCCTTAATAAAATTAATTTTTAGTTGAAGAAAATTATCAACCAAAAAAAAAAAAAAAAAAAAAAAGTAAATTTTCAAAATAAAATCGATTCGATTAACTATCGAGAAAACAGTTGTTATACAATACATGAATAGATGCTGTGTTAGCTCACGTGACTATTATTAAGCAGCCGTAAGTGGATCTGTTCTTTTATAAATAATGTGTAAATGTCGTTTTTATTTGATTCATTAGTTTTACTTTTATTTTAAGAAAATTAATTTTCAAACTTCGTGAAAAAAAAAAAAAAAAATTAAAAAAATGAGTATTTAAAAAATTTTTCAGCTTTTATTTATGATGATTATTTCCTGTCCTTTTTTGTTGTTGTTGTTTTTCTAAAGGTAAGGCTGATAATTTTTCATTTTCTTTTTAGATAAAAAAATATACTGCACTTAAAAAAAAAAAAAAAAAAAAAAAAAAAAGGCTGATAAGTGAAAAACAAATTAAAATAATAAAATTATATTTTTAAATTTAAGGTCACATTTTTTCTAAACAGAGAAAATGTCAATAAATTTTAATAAACGATTCTAATTTTCAGATTGTTTAGCTGCTCCATAAAATAAGGAAATAATTAAATTATGAATGACACTGACTAATACGTTTTGAACAATAAAAAAATATTAAAAAATTAAAATCTTCAGACACACTGGGTTGTATATTAATATTCTTTCGTTTTTATTATTTCATTTAGATTCCTCGACTTTTAATTTGTAGCACAAAGCAGGCTTTATTTTTCGGACGAACTCCAAGGGATGTTGATTATTTGAAGCAAATAATTGTAAATATTTTTATAAAATGCGACCAATTAAATGGTTGGGTGCTTAATTAATCAATAATTGTTAAAAAATAAATCTGACCTTTTTTTAAGGGAAGGAAAGACTAGTAAAAGAAAAAAGATCAAAACAACAAAAATTATTTTTAAATAAAAACAAATTATTTTGCAAACAAAAAGTATTTTCCCTGTAATAATTAGACTGTCGAAAAAGAACAAGCAAGATGTTATTGAAAAAGAGACTCAAAATAAATGTAAATTATACATAAATAAGAATAAAAATAAAAGACGAGCAATTCGTCATAGAATTGCAAGAGAAAAGAAGCGGGTCACGTAAGAAGAAAATATTAGAAAAGCCATAGACAACAAAGCTACAAAGCAGCTTTTAAAAAACACAAACAAAAAGGTTTTAATTTAAAAAAAAAAAAACGGCTTTCATAAGAAATGACACACGCATTTAAACAAATATTAAGAATCGGTTAGACTAGAATAACGACAAGTGTAAATCTGAAATGATATTCTCGAAAACAAAATAAAGAGGAAATAAAAATTAATAAACTAAATGAAAGTCGTGAGATTTTTAAGCCATTACAGTAGCAGAGAAAGGGGGAGGCTTTTTCGTTGACGATTAAAACATTTACGGGACTGGCCCAAAAGCTATCGTATTTTATCCTTCAAGAATGCTTACCTCTTCCTGTGTCAGATAGGTATTAGTGCAAACATGCAAACAGGAGTTAACGTCAGTGAAAAACTGATCAAAAGTGGCGCAGGATAAGGCTACAGTGAACACAGTCAAGATCAACAACTGAAACTGCATTTTAGCCGCCATATTGAGAAATGTTGTCTATATGAAGGCCACGTGACTTTCAAGGGGAGTTAACCATCAAAACGCTTCTTAACGCATTTCTTACAAAACCCGTTTTTATCCATTTAGTTTCACATTTCGGCCCTGTCCGGCGGTTAAGATAGTTGTGTATTTTCCGATGTCGTCTGAAATCAGTGATCGAGCCCAATTAAAAGCCACAATTTCAAAAACAGATTTTCAAGAAAGGCAAGCCTTCCCCATCTCTTGGAAAAATAGTGCAACACAATCTTTATCTCTTTCTTTCTTTATTAATTTAGCTTTCATTAACCTAAAAGTTAAATAGTAAACAAAAAAAAAAGGCAAAATTTTAAAAACATTTTCATACTATCTGATGATGCATTGTTATGTTTTTTTTAGAATAATTTATGCTGGTCAATCTATTTGATTATGATACTAAAATTATTTGAATAGGCCATTTTTAAAGGAAAATGAGAAAATTGTATATGTTTTGTAATTTACATCAGTGGATTATATTCCTTTTTGGAATTTTTAAACTAATTTATTAAAAATGATTATTTAAGATAAAAAAAAGAAACCTAAGAAGTTTTCACTATGATAGCTTGAAAACTAAACTGAAATTAAAAATCAACAAAGGCCTGTCAGAGAAATCTTTTTCTGCTTCATACAAATGATATTCAAAATAGACATTGAAGAAACATCTATTCAATTGACTGTTATGGAAGCCAATGTTTTAAAACAACACTTAATGGCATAGCTATACACAGAGTGACCTAGAATTGTACAAAAGTTAGCAATTATGTAATTTCATTCAAACCTAAAAGTGCTCTTACTATGATAGCCAGGAGAAACCTGACACTACCAAACATCAAAGGAAATTTAGTAGTTGACAGATAATAAGAAAACATATTTTTTCTTTAATTTGACCTTAATTCATACACATTTCCTTATTACTTTCAAATCAATTCAAAATTTCAACATTTTTTAAATGTATCTGATTCCAGGAATTTTAAGCTTTCAAGTTGAATTAATACAAAAATATTTTTTCTTCCTTATACACAAAAGAGAGAAACTTTACCAAATAACTATTAATACGTCATTTCTTTTTTTTTTTGTCTGAATTTCTTGGATGAGGAGTTATTGTTATTTGCATACAGATTATTGTCTCCATTTTTTTTGTTATTATCACAATATTTTGACTATTGTGCTCGTGTTAGTAAAATATATCAGATTAATTTATGTGTTCTGCTTTTTAGTATTGAATGTTTTGTGACACTATTTGGTGCTAGTAAATGGAAAAGAAAGGATTATTGGATAGAACAATGTATAGACCATGAGGAAGAATGAAGATTTCTATTTTCAAAAAGTATAATTCTCTAAAACCAGAGAAATTAATCAAGAAAAGGCAATACTATCACAAGAAGCCATGTGGTGATCTCTTGATAACTGATTACCTGTGGCTCTAGACAGTGGAGTAGCTAGAGTAAACGTCACCCGGGGCGGTCCGCTCAAATGTCACCCCAATGACCCCCATTCACCCTATGCTGAATGGTTAGCTGTAGCTAAATTTTCATACATGCTCTACCTCTACTTTACTTTACTGACCACAAAATAATCAGTTCAAATCAAAAGATTTTTAAAATGCAACTGTTCACTTTCAGAACAACTAAATACAAAACACGGATTGCACAAATTTTTCCGATTCCGATACCGATACCCCAAAAAGTTCCGATTTTTCCAACTCTCGAATCCAATTCCGATTAATCGTCCCAACACTAGTAGATATATTCAAAAGTATATTGCTCACTCAATGGAAAATTGTATCTCAGCAAATTGATACACAGGCAAGACTGAAATTGTTGCACTTTTGGCTTCGTATTTCGCTTTGTTGTTATTAATGATGCAGAGTTAAAACACCATATCATCCAATAAAATGTTACAACAATATCTCTTGTTAGTAACTAAGATTGTAGCAACTGAAACACATGAAAGCTGAAAACATTGCTATTTTTCCTACTCACAAATTTATTTCCTGACAATTTATTAGAAAATTTCTGACAGGGGGAAAAAACTGGGGGGTCATATGCCTAATCAAAAACCCTGTGTCTCCACCACTGTTTTCAGACTATTTTTGGCACCTTAGCCTAGTTGAAAAATTTTGTTGGGGGGTGACATTGTGTCACCCCTCCTGTGCTGGCACCCGGGGCGGTCCACCCCCCTAGCCCCCCCCATTAGCTACGCCACTGGCTCTAGAAGTACTGCTCACAAAAACAGAAATAAGTGGAATGGGTAAGATTTGATCAGTAACCAAAACTTGAGGATAAAATTTCCTTGTGGTTAGAGTGCAATGACCCTGATAGGGCTGGGAGGAGAGCCATCTAATCACTGTCTGATTTTGAACAAAAAAAGCCAGAATGGGAAAATTTTGCATAGGCAAAATTTGAAATAATAATACTTTTTGATTAATAACGTTAAGGTTAAGCCACACCAAGCAATCAAGAGCCATTGGTCGAAGAATAGCCAAAGTGGCAGGTGCAGATGAAATACTGAGAGAGGTGGAGGAATTGCCCACACTCATTGAAAAGCATTGGTTTGAGATGCTAATAAGAGAAGGAAAACGTTATCAGGGTAGATCAATACCTTTGACTGCTACCCATAGGAAAGGGGGATCTCCCAATTTGGAAATGTAATTTTCAGGATCCAGAAAGCAAAGGGGTTTTTGTTGGAAGATGGAAGAATCATTGAGTCTCCTAACCACATCCTTCCCTATGCCAGTTTTAGGTGAATATCAAAAAATAAAAAGAAATTGAAGCAGTGAGAAGCAGTTGTTCCAGACACTGGACAAGAAACAACCTCACATGACTGCTTGCCTGAAGAGATCCTGCATCGTAAGCCTTGTACCAAACTTAACCAAACCAGCCAAAGTGTTATGTTTAACTTAAGAAGTGTGTTGGGTTGATAATTGTCCACATGAAAAAAATTCTATCAGCAAGATTAACCAAGCACTGTACAAAAAAATGTATATAAAAGCATTTATTTGTATATAAAATCATTTATTTGTATATAAAAGCACTTATTTTTTATTCAAGTTATTTTTTTTTCTTGTGTCTTCATTCAACTTGAACCAACTTGATATGACGATTCCCAATGACGATTCAATCTTTGCCAGCCTTATAATCAAAACTAATCACAACATGGGGTAAGACAAGGTTTGGATTGAAGTGATCATCTTATTGATCAGCTGCAAGTGTTAGACATTTGGATGACCAGACAGAGGGCAACAGTTTATGTGAAAGAAAATTAGTGCGTATTGTGTGTACAAAAGAAAAGAATGTTTCTATCAGGTGAAAAAAAATTCAGTCCTATGTGTTGGGTATGTAATGGGGTTGGATGTTGTGTTGTATAAATTACCCTGTTGTTACATGTATTTATAGTAGTAATTGATAGAGGAATGCTTTTTCTTTTTTTTATACTGAAAATGAAATAAATAAAAACATACAACAATAACATAAACAATAAATCTTGAGACACATGTTGACATTAATAACAAAAATTTGTATTTTTCTTTTTCATAATGTCAATTACAGATATTAGTATGGTATGTGTTAAAAATGTTCTTAGTATTACTGTCTCTTTTGTTTCCTTAAAAGTTTATGCTTAATTGTTTTTCTTGTTCCGAGAATTTTGAGGATAACGTTTGAGAATGTTAGTTTTCAATTTTCATGGAAGGATGAGGATACATATGTCTTGGGTCTTTTTTATTACTGCTACTCTACTCTGGTGACCCTAATGTCCTGACTGCCCTCACTTATGGTGGAAGGGTTATTTTTATAATCATATTTTAGAATGATAAAATATCTTTCTTATCTTTCATCACTGGTGGCAAGGTTGTTTTTAGGATGAAGAAATCTTTTATCTTTATTTTAGGGATGATGAAATATCATCATCATTCTGGATCATAACAGGTACTTGAAAATGTATCAAAATATATCAACATGGCTTCCAGTAGCAGTGATTAGAAAAAGGACCCTGAAGCTAATTTTGCTTTTCTTTATATACACTTTGTTGAAATAAATCTTTTATATGGACAGTTCTCTGATTGGTTGAAATATGCAATCCAAATTTATTTTTTAATTTGAAAAAAAAACATGACTTATGCACTGAGCCTACCTGTGTATAAATATATATTCATCATTTACATTTTTGACTTCCTAATTGATTAGGTTTGTGTCTGCACATAACCTTCAGAGAATTTTAAACTGAGCCTTTTATTTAATCTATGGGGTTAGATTGTTCTTGTTCCAATGTCCATATCTGAGAATATCTTGTCTTGTTCTTATTTATTACTGCTTAGTTATTGTTTCAACTGAAAGACTTCACCACTACCCGGCTCGGGGATTGAACTCATAATCAATATGTCACCAAATTCAAAAACCAAAATCCACTAGGTTAATAACTTTTATAAAACTATTTAAACCTTAAAAAGCAAATAATATACATAAGTAAATAATTCTGCTGTAATATGTCAATTTTATTTGTTTTTCTTTACTACAAATATCCAAACCTCCCTTCAAATTTGGGCAACATGAGGAAAAAGATAGAAAGAAATTTGCAAGCATATGTGAAATTCTTTTTGGACCAATGAAAACCTTGCTCTTACAGAGATTGGCTGGCTAGCTGAGAAAAGGCAGAAATAAATATGTGAGCCTATGTGAAATTGCTTTTGGACCAATGAAAAACTTGTCTTCACAGAAATTAGCCATTGAGCCGAGAAAAGAAAAAAGGAAAATAGCAAGCGTATGCAAAAATTTTTTTAATATAAAAATGAGAAAAAAAATTAAAGAGAGAAGTATGTCTAAAGTCATGTGAAACATTTTGTTTCTGTTCATATGTCCAGTGTTCAAACTCTTACCAGAGTAAAATTATTCACCAATTATCAGCTTTTAACCAAACACATGGCACTTCAAAGAATTTTCTCTGAAAAATCCAAGAAA